TGGAAAATTGGATAAGTAAAGGAAAGTGGGACGTAACATGGACTTGATTGTCATGGAATTGTATTGTGATATAAATTGGTTTATAAGTGTTAACCATCTATCAAATGCTATTGTTTTAGTCATTGCTTATATCTGGTTTAGTATATCTCTGTTGGGCATTGACTCGCCCTTTATGGGACATCATTTTCAGGTTTAGGTAATATGCAACCTCCAAGGACATAGCTTGGGAGGCTTAGTGACTGGAAGATCTTTTTGATGTTATTTTTGTGTTACATGTAAATCAAGTCAAGTGCTTATTTTGTATAAAGAGTTAGACTCTTCTTTTGTTGAACCCAAGTGTTGACTTGAAAAGTTGTAAGCCCGTAGGGCATTTACTTTTGTTGTCAACATATAAAACTTTTTGTAGTAAACACTCTGATTTATAGAATATATTGTCTGTTTCTTGTGTCATGAATGTATAAATTATGGGTTTATTTTGAGGGCGTTACAAGTTAATTAGGAGAAAAATTTTATACTAACAATATTTAGTTATTTATAAATATTTGTTTGTTTTTTAGTTATACAACATTAACAATTTTTTAGTTTACGAAATTATCTAGTAAAACTAAGAAATTTATTAGTTTCTGAGAAAATTTTCAATTTTTTTTCCAATATTAAAATTTAGAACATTCTTAGTTTTAAAACTGAAAGAAAAAAAAAATTTAATGTTCCATATAACTTTTTCGTCAACTAAAGTTTTTTATAGTAACAATATTTATTTATTTCTTAACAATATTTATTTACTTATAAAAATTTATTTGTTTTTTATACTAACAATAAATATTTGTACAAGCAATATTTATTTATTTACTAACAATATTTATTTACTTATAAAAAAAATTTATACTCAATATTGATCTTATTTGATAGATCTCATTGTGTAGACTCTAAAAATATAATTTTTATTAAAAATAAATATTTATAATAAAAATTATGAAAATTTTAAATTTTAAACACAATAAAATAAAAGTAAATGTCATATCAGCCGTACCCATTTCAACTTGTAGAAATTATCTAGTGCTTTTGTGCATAATTAGGTGGTTACTAGACAAATATGTGAAATTTCACACTAAATTATAAATTCAAAAATTTTAAAAATTTCAATTCAAAAATTAAGTAAAATTTTCATACATTTATAATAAATAAATAAATAATGTGAAATTTCAAAAGTGAACTTTTCGTACTATCAAATCCAAAAAAGTGTGAAGTTTTATATATTTTTCCTTTTATATAATTTTATATTCAATTGAGATCTTATTTGATAGATCTCATTGAGTACTTTTTAAAAATATAAATTTTAAGAAATTATACCGGTAATTTCTATATTTTATCTCTTATGTTATTTTGATCTTTACATTTTCAAGTGGCTCAATTTTGACCTTTAAGTTTAGATTTTGTATCAATTTCGTACAATTGATAATACTGTTAATTTTTTTGACGAAAAATTGTCACTCAAATTGATTGAGGTTAACTCAATGAGTTGAACAAACTTATGATTTTGCCCTTAAAATCATGAGCAAACTACCAAAATGTCATAACAGTTGCACTTAATTCAAGTCCTATTGAAAGTTAGTCCTAATAAAATTGTCGTTAAAAAAAAAAATTTATCACACTTTTTTGCATGTCACTAAAAATTGACAATTAGTGACTTTTTTTGTTACGATTATTAAAATTGTTGCTAAAACTTACAATTAATGACTTTTTATGTGACGAATTTTTTAAATTATCGTTGAAAGTTGTAAATTAGTGACTTTTTTGTGATGATTATTTTAAACCATCACTAAAACATATAATTAGTGACTTTTTTGTGATAAAATTTTCAAATTGTCATTAAAAATTAATAATTAGTGATATTTTTTAATAGTATTTGATGAAAAACATTGTTAATCATCACATGACCTATTAAACAATAAATTCACCTATTAGACCTAAAGCCCCCTTATATATATGATATATGTTATATGGGGCTGTAATTTTTTCCATGCAAGGAAATCACAACAAAAGTTAAACTTCTACATTTTGATAAATAAATCTAAAAATATGATTTTTAACATTTCTCATTTTTCTGCTTCATCACAAGTCAAACAAATAAATTTTGTACTAAAAAATGTCTCAGATCTCTAAACTAAGAGTTCTAATAGCTCTAATATATATGTAGGTTCCACATGATGAGATGTTTTGACCTTCTATTTTTTTTAAATCAGCTCATTAAACTGATTTAGTGCTCCAAATTTAGAACTACCATTCACTTCTCTTTTGTACTTGATCATGCAGGCTTCTTCATCTTAAAGATATTTTGGAAAGATGATTAAAAATTATTTATCTTTTTACGAAAAGATGTACAAAAAAATAGAGAGATAATGTGATAAAAAAAATAAATAAATAGATTATTTTAAAAATGCTAAACTTGACCTTAATGCACTTAAAAAGTCAGTTTCGAGATATCAATTTTGAAAAGGAAAAATGATAAAATGCATCCCATATCTGACCATGTCTAGTCTTATCTTTCGGATAGAAGCATCTAATAGACTTTAATACTTTCAAAACTTTACTCATGACCGTACATTGATGGGCGCAAATTGCAAACATCACAAGAAGCCAATTAATCAAATGAAAAGTCGTTCCACACTTTTGGGAGCCATCCCATGGTGGTTCCTTAATTCATTATTTTAACAAACTTTCAAACTAAAGTATTCCATTTTACTGTTGTTTTCAATATATGTACATTACACTATAAAAATTTCAGTTTTTTACGACGGCACGGTACCGTCACTAATACTCTTAATGTCGTCTTAAAAAATTTTTAGCGACGAAAAATAACTTTTAGCGACAGCAAATGGGGGTCATAACAGAGGGCGTTGCAAAAACCTTTTAGCGACGACATCATGCCGCCCCCTTTTTTTAGTGACGGCAATTGTTACCTTCTGCGACGGCAATTTACTGTCGCATATAATATGTAAAAAAGTTAGACCTTTTGTGACAACACTGTTTTATCGTCGCTAGAAGTTTTATTTGAGACGGTAAAAACTGCTATTGCGAATGTTTTCTTTTTTTTTTTGCAACGACATGCCCACTGTCGCCAATAATTTTAATATTTTTTGCGACGGTATGGTGCCGTCACAAAAAAAAAAGAAGAAACCTACAATAAAATTATTAAAAATATTAATATTACATGTATTAAATGAAAAACAATTGAAAAAGAAACAATAATTGCATAATAATATAAAAATTCCTATATAGAAAAAATAATTTCTCCATAATAAAAATATTCTTGCATTCATAACTACACATCAACAAAATTACCACCACTACATAATATTCTATAATACATATATAATGTTTAAATACATAATGTTGTTCATAATTCAAAATAACATAAACCAAAATTACAAGTTTTGCTTATCATTCTCTGTGGGTAACAAAAACAAAAATTAGTCGCATTCTTCACAGACATGCATTCCACAAGAAGCAAAATCCTACTCGGGAAATATCTGGAAAAAAAAAATAAATATAATTAATGACAATATAATTATGTTTTAATATGGTAATTACAAAAAAACATTGAAATTTAACTACCATACAATTACAAAGATAATTAAGTAAATAATTTTGCCTAGACCAAAATCCGGCTCTAACTCTTAAACCGGGAACCCGATTCGAGTCCCGTTTTCTCCCACAAGTCTTTTGTGCCTAGGCGGTCGTGTGTGCCAAGTTTCGTGCTACTTTGACTCCGTTTGGTGATTTTGGGGCGTTAACAACTCGAATTCTAAGTTTCTTAAGAAACTAGTTTGTCTAAAGTGAAATCCGACCATAACTCCTAAACCGGGAATCCGATTCGAGTCTCATCTTCTCCCACAAGTCTTTCGTGCCTAGGCGGTCGTGTGTGCCAAATTTCGTGCTACTCTGATGTCGTTTGGCGATTTATGGCGCTTAACACCTCGAATTCTATGTTTCTTAAGAAACTAGTTTGCCTAGAGTGAAATCCGGCACTAACTCCCAAACTGGGAACCCGATTTGAATCCCGTCTTCTTCCACAAGTCTCTCATGCCTAGGCGGTCGTGTGTGCCAAGTTTCGTGCTACTCCGACGCCGTTTGGTGATTTTGGGGCATTAACACCTCAAATTCCAAGTTTCTTAAGAAACTATAGTTTGTTTCTTAAGAGTGAAATCCGGCTCTAACTCCCAAACTGGAAGCCTGATTTGAGTCCCGTTTTCTTCCACAAGTCTCTCGTGCCAAGGCGGTCATGTGTGCCAAGTTTCGTGCTACTCCGACGCCGTTTGGTGATTTTGGGGCATTAACACCTCAAAGTCTATGTTTCTTAAGAAACTAGTTTGTTTCTTAAGAGTGAAATCCAGCTCTAACTCCCAAACCAGGAATCTAATTCGAGTTCCATCTTCTCCTACAAGTCTCTCGTGCCTAGATGGTCGTGCATGCCAAATTTCGTGCTACTCCAACACCGTTTGATGATTTTGGAGCATTAACACCTCAAACTCTACGTTTCTTAAAAAACTAGCACTACTACAAAAACAGATAAAGATCACACTTTTTTTGTGTAATGTATGTTATTTAATCACACCTTTTAAGTTTTATTAAAGTGTGATCTTTGAGAGTGTGATTGAAAGTGGTCATTTTTAATCACACCTTTTAAGTGTGCTTAATAACTTTTGGATCACATCTTTTAAGTGTGATTAATAACATTTAGATCACACATTTTAAGTGTGATTAAAAACATTTAAGTCACATCTTTTAAGTGTGCTTAATAACATTTAGGTCACACCTAAGTGTGATTAATAACATTTAGATCACACATTTTAAGTGTAATTAAAAATATTTAGATCACATCTTTTAAGTGTGATTAATAACATTTAGATCGCATTTTTTAAGTGTGATTAATAACTAATAAAACTTGTGATAATAAACTTTTAGATCACAGATTTTAAGTGTGATTAATATCTACTTTACTACAGGCAACCAACTATATATCTGGGTCCACTGCTTGCTTTAACAATCACTAAATTACCCACAAGCAATCAATCAATACCACATTTAAGTTCAAACCATCATAGAAGAGTTTACTAAAAAAAATTAAGTTTAAGTTCATTACAATAAATTAATCGACCAGTTTAATAACTAAGAGCACATTATGAATTATTCCATTTGCAAGCAGCCCATAATAGACAGAGCTTGTATTTTTTTTGCATGACATTTATCAAGACCTCGGATTCTAAACTGACCTAAAATGATTTCACAAACAATTTCCAGAACCACCCTCCCCCCCCAAAAAAAAATGGAAATAAAGAACAAAAGAAATGAGTAATTACGTCGCTCATTGTCAAGAGGCCTGAGAACTTCTCCGATTATCTGCCCAATGCTCTGAAGCAACTTCAACTCGTCTTCTATCTTATTGAACTCTTTCTTGGAAGCTCGCAAGCTCTCTCTCACTGCATGCTAAACATAATTAGAAAATTGTATATGTGCCTAAGTGTGAAAACATAATTTTATTCAAGTTGTCAAAGGACATCTACAACCCTTGATTCAAACTTATATCAAATTTAAAAAGCAAAATGTAGGGATTAGATTTGTTAAATCTCTTTGTATTTATTTAATATACATATAGTAAGACTAAAACACCAAAATATTACACTTAATCAGATGCAAATCAGTCATGGACAGGGCTCCTCGAACTGAGATGTACCTGTGGGGAGAACATCTCTTTGTATGTATTTAAGAAACCAAGTAAGTATACCTTTTCCCTTGTGACGAGCAGTACGCTTCCGTGGGAGAAATCCAAGGGACCCATGCAAGGGATGCTCAAATTTCCTGTGCGGCATCTTCTCTTCCTTCACAAATAAATGGTTAACGTTATTATTGAAAAAATTAACATTGAAAGTCCTTGCAATCTACTATTTTGTAATCCTTGCTCTAAATTAAGTGTCCAAAACTTCCAACCGAACATAAGCATAATCAACTAGGAACATGGAGATATTATTGCCCATACAAGAATCATCCGAAGCATTTCTAATATTGATTATGTACACACATGTATAAACTTGCTATGAAATATAACTCGAAAGAGATCAGACAAATCAAGACATTCTCTTATGTGATTTTTCATTGAAAAAACTTGAAATCCATATGTTATACGAGTTCTACTGAAATGAGAATGTGACTTGGAATTTAGAGACATTTATTTGCATAGAAATGTTACAGATAACATTAAAAACCAAAATTTTAGTTTTGGAATTGATGAATGTATACAAATCTGTCTGGTTTCAAACGAATCAACACCGCATCATTATCAAATCAATCATCTGTTTAAACACACAACAATCAAAAATCAGTTTAAAATTTCAGCAAACATTAGAAAGCATGTACATGGAAACTACTCAACAACATTGGTCATTAACTTAAGCAACCATTAAAATTCTGTGATAATTTAGTTCTTTTGTATACTTGTGGATTTGTTCCCATATAAGGTGCTGGAACATCAATGTGCACTCCAATAAGATTTTGTATCTTCTGGGCGAAAACTCTGGTGAGTCATTCTAGCTCAGACATGCTTAATTCCCCTGGATTTCATCTGTGGGAGCTAGAAAAATGTAGGTACTAGCTTATTGGGCCTAACCCAAACAAAGTCTACAATGGGTCCAGCCCAAACAAATATCACACCCCTCATCTATATAAAGGGGGGGCATACAAAGTGAAGAGGAGGTCTGATCTCTCTCTACAGAACACACACCCCTTCAAATATATATGCTAATTACTTCTTGCTTCAAGGACTAACTTCATCATCGGAGTACTCCTGGTCGGCAACCCCGGTTGGTTGTTATCGACTATGTTCATCATTGCAGATCTATAGAGGTGAAGCTGTTCTCGTCGTTGGATCTCTACACCATCCATGTGAGAGGATATTTCATGGTCTTACAATTGGCGCCGTCTGTGGGAACGACTGAATGAGAACAACGAAGAACACAACAAATATACTACTGTAAGTAAACATATATTGGATGCTTTGAGGTTAGTGCACTTTCTACAAAAGCAAAATCAATCCCAAGTAATACGGCCCACAGATGGGTTTTTGGCTTCTTTCATTCTGATTATGTTTTTTTGCTAAAGTTCAGGTATATATATACACATCTATGTATGTATCTATTTATGCTCACATATTTGATCAAAGCATTGTTGAATATTAAGCCTCCGTTTGGGAAGTGGGTTGGCTTTTTGGCTTTTTTGGCTATTTTAGCCTGGGCTTAAAAGCATGGTTCGGGAAGGGCTTTTTGGCTTTTTGGCTTTTTTGAGTTTTTTTGTGAGAGAAGAATGTAATGATTATGGATTGGATGTGATATTTTGTTTGTTATGGCTAAAATAGCCTATTTTGTTTTTTGTGGCTAAAATAGCCAAAAAAGCCTGCAAACCTACTTGCCAAACACAGGCTAATATTGCTTAGAAAGGTTGTCAAAACAAGAAGAAGTTAGTAGCTGTTTTCTCTCTCTAAAAATGGGTTTCACACCTTTCTTGGTGCAAACATCTTTTCGGCAATTCAATAAAGTTATTCGGCTAAATTCATACGTGGGTCTGTCCATTTATTTATTTATTCTTTGTTTCTCAAAACTTAGCTTAAAGTTGATTCTTAACATGTATGCACGTGTACCTATGCTAAAGCTTTCTGTAGAATCCAAGGCTGGGTCTTCAATTTTCCTCTCTCTAGAATGGACCATGAGTTATGAGAACAAACAAATTATTATTCTTATTTAATTAATTGTGATAGTTGGCTGGCCATATATATATATATATATATATAAATTCAAACAGTCAGATCTGGAGGCAACTTCAGTTGTCATGAATGGCTCATGTTGATGCTGATCAAAATCTAGACAAAATCGTTTAGCACCCATAACAAGCTAGGCTCTTCTCGACAACGATCACAAATGGAAACATCTTTAACCAAAGCTTGACTAGTTGTCGCGAAGCACCCCGAGTCACTGCCGATTTTCCAAACTCACCAAGTGGACTTGTGACATTCTCTCGGCAGAAGGTGCAAGCCATTCGGTGTCAATGAAAGGCCGAGAATAAGTTTCACCGAGCACGACCATGTCAGCTTTTTCCAAGAGCCATTGTCTAGCAATGGCTTTGGCCACCATATAGTCAAGCTCGGCAACGGACCATTGGACCGCAACACTTCTGATTTCATCAATCACAACCCGTTTACAAATATCTTTAGCCATAGCAAGTTTGCCGAGTTACTTACATTGTGCAACCATGCTCCACTACTCTTATTCCGCAACATTGAAGAGACGAACAAAAAAAGAGTAGGCCAATCTTATTTTTGGTCAACTTTCAGAGGTCCAACGGCATCCAATTCGAGGCAGACTTACGCATTTGAATAGTGGAATGAACACTAGGCCGAGTGGTGAATCCAACGCTGCAAAAATGAGGCCAATCGAACTTCAAACGAGGGAGATACAAGGGCTCAAAGTTGGGAGTTTGAATCGAAGATTCTGCATTTCATGACCTGTAGCACGAAGAATTCAGCCTTGCACCATTTGGGCCACTATTAATTCATATTATTCGCCAATATCACCCACAATTCGGCAACAGAATTCATCGGCATTATAAACACTGCATGCATATGATCAACTCGACTTATTCGGCTTCAACGACTTATTCGGCAAAATTACACCGTAACTTTTCTTATTCGGCATTACAGTTTACAATATTATTCCGCATCAATATTCAGCAATGTTGTAACTTATTCAGCTTAGGCGACTTATTCGGCAAAATCACACCGTACTATTTATTATTCGACACATTCTTTGACTACAGTTTACAATTATTTCGCACCAATATTTGGCAAGGTTGTAACTTATTCAGCACTAATATCTTGGCATAGAACTAGCATCTCGGCTTGCCAAAGTCCACATCTGAACACACCACAGGATTCGTCTCGGCCCAAAGAGTCCAAACCCACAAACATGAGTTAAATTGTTCCAAATTGAGCAAACTAGTCTATACTTGCTTGTGCGCATCACATAGTAAAGCTAGCTTAATAACCAGAACAAAAGCACATAATGGTTATAAAAAAATCATATCTTGATTAGTAGAGGCTGATCTTTGATCGGGTGAGCGGGGGTGCTCAATTTATGACCTTCCCCTCTCGTACCTAAGTTCCCGGGCCAAGGCAAGTTTGGTGATGACGGACACGTGGCCTTTGGCACGAGTCATGGGTTTCCTACATTTCCCCAAAAATAAAATATTTAGGCAACGACTCTGTATCTGGCAAAGCAGTCCAATTTTGGCAATTTTTGATTTAAAATCAATTTTTCAAAATGATTTGCCGGATTTGGACTCTTTGGTGTTTATCAGTTTTACATTGCACTTGTGAGATTAGATTCAGGACATCAAAATTCTGGGTTAGAACTATGGAAAAGCATAAGCCCACAGGGCGCGTCCACAGTTTCTGGCAACTCTGCTAGGGAGTTTGAGAACTTGACTCGAACTCGTGATATCTTGTTTTGACTACACTTATGGAAGATGGGGGATGTACCTCTAAACCGGTTAATGGTTTAGGGGAAGATGGGGGATGTACCTCTAAACCGGTTAATGGTTTAGGGGAAGATGGGGGATGTACCTCTAAACCGGTTAATGGTTTAGGGGAAGATGGGGGATGTACCTCTAAACCGGTTAATGGTTTAGGGGAAGATGGGGGATGTACCTCTAAACCGGTTAATGGTTTAGGGGAAGATGGGGGATGTACCTCTAAACCGGTTAATGGTTTAGGGGAAGATGGGGGATGTACCTCTAAACCGGTTAATGGTTTAGGGGAAGATGGGGGATGTACCTCTAAACCGGTTAATGGTTTAGGGGAAGATGGGGGATGTACCTCTAAACCGGTTAATGGTTTAGGGGAAGATGGGGGATGTACCTCTAAACCGGTTAATGGTTTAGGGGAAGATGGGGGATGTACCTCTAAACCGGTTAATGGTTTAGGGGAAGATGGGGGATGTACCTCTAAACCGGTTAATGGTTTAGGGGAAGATGGGGGATGTACCTCTAAACCGGTTAATGGTTTAGGGGAAGATGGGGGATGTACCTCTAAACCGGTTAATGGTTTAGGGGAAGATGGGGGATGTACCTCTAAACCGGTTAATGGTTTAGGGGAAGATGGGGGATGTACCTCTAAACCGGTTAATGGTTTAGGGGAAGATGGGGGATGTACCTCTAAACCGGTTAATGGTTTAGGGGAAGATGGGGGATGTACCTCTAAACCGGTTAATGGTTTAGGGGAAGATGGGGGATGTACCTCTAAACCGGTTAATGGTTTAGGGGAAGATGGGGGATGTACCTCTAAACCGGTTAATGGTTTAGGGGAAGATGGGGGATGTACCTCTAAACCGGTTAATGGTTTAGGGGAAGATGGGGGATGTACCTCTAAACCGGTTAATGGTTTAGGGGAAGATGGGGGATGTACCTCTAAACCGGTTAATGGTTTAGGGGAAGATGGGGGATGTACCTCTAAACCGGTTAATGGTTTAGGGGAAGATGGGGGATGTACCTCTAAACCGGTTAATGGTTTAGGGGAAGATGGGGGATGTACCTCTAAACCGGTTAATGGTTTAGGGGAAGATGGGGGATGTACCTCTAAACCGGTTAATGGTTTAGGGGAAGATGGGGGATGTACCTCTAAACCGGTTAATGGTTTAGGGGAAGATGGGGGATGTACCTCTAAACCGGTTAATGGTTTAGGGGAAGATGGGGGATGTACCTCTAAACCGGTTAATGGTTTAGGGGAAGATGGGGGATGTACCTCTAAACCGGTTAATGGTTTAGGGGAAGATGGGGGATGTACCTCTAAACCGGTTAATGGTTTAGGGGAAGATGGGGGATGTACCTCTAAACCGGTTAATGGTTTAGGGGAAGATGGGGGATGTACCTCTAAACCGGTTAATGGTTTAGGGGAAGATGGGGGATGTACCTCTAAACCGGTTAATGGTTTAGGGGAAGATGGGGGATGTACCTCTAAACCGGTTAATGGTTTAGGGGAAGATGGGGGATGTACCTCTAAACCGGTTAATGGTTTAGGGGAAGATGGGGGATGTACCTCTAAACCGGTTAATGGTTTAGGGGAAGATGGGGGATGTACCTCTAAACCGGTTAATGGTTTAGGGGAAGATGGGGGATGTACCTCTAAACCGGTTAATGGTTTAGGGGAAGATGGGGGATGTACCTCTAAACCGGTTAATGGTTTAGGGGAAGATGGGGGATGTACCTCTAAACCGGTTAATGGTTTAGGGGAAGATGGGGGATGTACCTCTAAACCGGTTAATGGTTTAGGGGAAGATGGGGGATGTACCTCTAAACCGGTTAATGGTTTAGGGGAAGATGGGGGATGTACCTCTAAACCGGTTAATGGTTTAGGGGAAGATGGGGGATGTACCTCTAAACCGGTTAATGGTTTAGGGGAAGATGGGGGATGTACCTCTAAACCGGTTAATGGTTTAGGGGAAGATGGGGGATGTACCTCTAAACCGGTTAATGGTTTAGGGGAAGATGGGGGATGTACCTCTAAACCGGTTAATGGTTT